TGAATCAATGAATCATTAGCTGGACATTCGATCTGACTGGATCATCTGAATTCAGTTAGTCATTAGCTGTAGACTCGCTCTGACTGGATCATCTGAATTCAGTTAGTCATTAGCTGTAGACTCGCTCTGACTGGATCATCTGAATTCAGTTAGTCATTAGCTGTAGACCCAGTCTGACTGGATCATCTGAATCAGTGAGTCATTATCTCGACACTCGCTCTGACTAGATTATCTGAATCAGTTGGTCATTAGTTGGATACACTCTCTGACTGGATAATCTGAATAAGTGAGTCAATTGCTGGCAACTCACTTGGACTGGATCATCTGAATCAGTGAGTAATTAGTTGTAGACTCACTCTGACTAGATCATCTGAATCAGTTGGTCATTAGATGGACACTCGATCTGACTGACTGGATCATCTGAATCAGTTAATCATTATCTGGAGACTCGCTCCGACTGGATCATCTGAATCAGTGAGTCATTAGCTGTAGACTCGCTCTGAATGGATCATCTGAATCAGTGAGCCATTAGTTGGATACTCTCTCTGACTGAATAGTCTGAATCAGGGATTCATTAGCTGGGCACTCAATTTGACTGGATCATCTGAATCAGGGAGTCATAATTGGAGACTTGCTAAGACTGGATCATCTGAATCAGTGAGTCATTAGCTGGACTCTCAATCTGACTGGATCATCTGAATCAGAGGATTGAGAATTGAAATAACATGCATTTTAATTAGTCCAATTAGAAACTGAAGATTGATTTGTGAACTTAAATTAAAACACACTGTTACTGTCCACAACTAAATGCATAGCATATACAGTAGAACCTATTTAAATAGTCACAAAGTAAGTGTCAAACTTACTGTAGTACCAACTTAATGAAGCCTAAAGACTCAATGATTCAGATGATCCAAAGCAAGTCTCCTGCAAATGACTCACTGATTCAGTCAGATTGAGTCCCTACAGTACAATATCTGATTTAAGGCACAGTGAGAGGCTTCCACGCTTCAGACCAGGCCTCCATCCTTCACCTCGTGATTAGAGGAAATTAGCGAATCTGCATTTGGTGCCAGAAAACAAAACAGAACAACTGATAATTCGACTTCAACAAGGCCCTGGCATCTAATGAGCTTTCAAAGCCCGAGGAGATGGAGAAATGAGCCTGACGTCTGCACAAAACAGAACGCCTAGTAAAATTAGCCTGCCTTCAATGACCGGCTCACTACAAATGCATCAGTGCTCAAAACAGAACACACTAGCTTGCCAGATCACTTGTTTGCCATTGCATCTTGTCTTTGTTTTTGTGCATGAAAAAAAGCCTCCATCTGTGTCAGTGATTTAGTGAGCAGACACACAGCAGAAGTGGCCATGATTGCTTACTCTTACAAACAAAAATGCACATGGTCTGGTTTGCCAGTATATAAGAGAATGGTCGTATCCTACCGCATACAAATGCAAAGATGAACGGACAGATGCATGCATGCCTGCACACGTGCGCACGCTCAGGAGCCTGCAGGGCAGAAAGGACAGAAGACAGAGGCAGGGACAGGAACATTTCAACCATTTCATTTGAGTGGTACCCAGCGGACGGCTCCCCAGTGGCAGCGATAGCTCCAAACACGATGCTCACAGTTCAGAATCTGAAAAAAGAAAGTGTTTTTTTTTCTTATTCTCTAAGAGACAGACTGACAGAAAGACACTGAGGATGGTGACAGGGGGATGGAGAAATAACAAAGGGGCATCATTGCCTTCTCCATCTCTAACCACGGTGAAACCAAATGTCAGCCGTCAGAAGAACAATGAAAATTAATGCCGCATATTGTACAGCAGTTTATATTTAGCTTTGTAAACGACCATTTCCAGCATAATTGAGTCTGATTCAAGCGGCAAAATAGCACACATGCTCATCCTGTGAAGTGAAGGAAAGACAGAGAGCAAACAATACAGTACAGCACTTCAAACAAACCACACGCTGCTGTTATCTGCTCCTGACAGTAGCTTTACTTCGCAAAACCATCAATTCCGTAACTGAATAAATGCTACTCATATGACAAAAGGCAAATAAAACCTGTTCCTGTGCGTGTCTTGAGTACATTTCGCACTTAAATACCAATCAATTATTACATAAGAGCAGGTTGGTATTTCTAATGTCACTTGTTAACATGAACAAACCCACTGGAGATCATTCTTGCGTATATACAGTATAGACAACTACGCTGTCAAAAAATCTTGGCTGTCTTATTTTTAAGCTGAATCAAATTAACCTTATGAGTGCATTGAACTATGTAAACTGACTTAAAACAGCTTGCGTAACTTATAAAATTAAGTTAGAACATGGTTAAATTAGTTTAATAAGTTACAATTACTAATTACTATTACTATTAAGTAATAGTACTAATAAAAATACTAATTACTATTAATTACTATTACTATTATTACTATTACAATTACAATTACTATGAAGACTAATGCTGTCAGGACTAATTGGTCATATAATATTTTAAAGTGTAGTGAATTGTTTCAAAATATTTTACATTGCAGCGGTTACACCAACTTTTATGCAGTCTTGTCTCTACTTGTATTGGTGGAATTGGAAAATGTTAATACAGTACTATTTCCAGGGCCATTTCTAGACTTTATTTTGTCACCCTATAGGCAAAATTACTATTGTTCACCTCAACACAATATGGACTTTTATAGCTGCTGTTGTAATACAACAACTATAGTAATCCTGTATAAACAAATGACCCAATACTGTAAAGTTTCCACAACAGCAAACTAAAGATTCCTTAACTGCACGTTCACACCAAAGCAGCAAGAGTGTCAAAGGTTGCTCTGGCCGCCCCTTGCGACAACATTGTCAGCTCTGGCGGGGAGAGCATCAAAATTCGCTACATTGATCTCGCATTTAAAGGGGCCATTGCAGCCTATCATATTAGTTACATAAACATCAGTTGCATAAAAATATACCTTCTAGCGTGAAAATGTTGCATACTTATTATCAAATTCATTTAACAATGGGAGATCAAGTTGCATGTGGTGTGGCTTTGCTTCACTTAATTATCCAATGTGTCCATATGTCTGAATTATCCTGAAGCAGCAGTACTGTTTTGTACTTTCGCATGACATTCCCGCTTTTTTAAAGACAAAAATATAACTTATAACATTAATGCACATCAGTAACTCACCAGTAACTTTTTAAATTATGTTCCTGTAACAAAACATTGCAAATAACTGGATTAAATCCGGCGACCGCAACAGTCAAACCCCTGGGAACAACTCTGGTCAGAACCAAAGATCAAAGGATTGTGTTCTCTGGACTTCTCTCAAGCGGTGAACTTCTACATTCTGATTACTTGCCGCCGAACCGCATCATAGCTTATAAAGTTGACTTGATTTCAACTCTCCTCGACGCCCACATCAGCGAAGACGAGCAGCGCTGCTCCCCGCCGCTGACTCTCATTGAAAATGAATAACTTCCGGCTACTTTGACGCTCTCGCCGCTTTCAGTGTGAATGTACAGTTACAGTATTTATTACAGTTTATCAGTTTAAAATAGGTAATACTATGATTGAGCATTCATTAAATTATGAATTCAAGAATACATACAATATAACAAACTTTGAAATGGTATGGTTCAAAAACACTATTGTATTTGCTATGAATTATGCAATGATTCAAATAACTAAATCATAAAGTCATCTGGAATGGCAAAGAAAGTGTTCTTGCAGGACTCCCAGAGTTCATCAAGATTCATTGGATTCATCTTCATCGCCTCCTCCATCTTACCCTAGACATGCTCAATAATGTTTAAGTCCGGTGACTGTGCTTGCTAATCCTGGAGCACCTTGACCTTCTTTGCTTTCAGGAACTTTGATGTGAGGCATAAGTATGAGGAGCGCTATCCTGCTGAAGAATTAGCCCTTTCCTTTGGTTTGTAATGTAATGGGCAGCACAAATGTCTTGATACCTCAGGATGTTGATGTAGCCATTCACTCTGCAGATGTCTCGCACGCCCCAATACTGAATGTAACACCAAACCATGATTTTTCCTTCACCAAACTTGACTGATTTCTATGAGAATATTAGGTGCATGTGGGTCCAATAGGTCTTCTGCAGTATTTGTGATAACTGGGATGCAGTTCAACAGATGATTCATCTGAAAAATATACCTTCAGGCCACTTAGCAGTTAGCCAAGAGGTAATCAGTGTTGCTTTTTACATTTTAATTAGACCACTTTATCATGATATGTAGAAAGAATACGACTATTAGATGAAAAAAAAAAATCTGTTTAACAGCTGACAATAGTCACAGGAATAATGTCTCTTTGTTTAGTGGACTGCTAGTCCTCTGTCCTTTCTGAAAGTGAATATGGTGCACAGTGTGATCACAGTCAGTCTGACCATATTCAATATACAGTATCCACTTAGACATTGTTTTGGACCAGTGAGTTTCCCTGTGGGTGGATCCATTTAGAACAATGAGCAAGTTTTGAGCAGAATCAATTATTGATGAAATGTCAAACTCGACATGACAGTGGCTACGCTTTTCAGATTCCGACACAAGAGTTAATAGACTAAAATGTTCATCTAGTAACTCTGTCATTTTTATGTCTATGAATAATGTTTGAGCAGCCCACACTCTGACATTCTGTGTAGAATATATATGATGTTAATCGTATCTTTCAAACCATTTTTAAAAGAAAAAACGTGGTGGCAGAATTAAATAGTAGGCACGCTGTATTTCACTTTCATGTTAATCTTCGATTTAAAGCAGCCGTATAACAAACGTGGAACAAAGAATACCTGCAGCTTTCCTATTCCGCTGTGAGAAGTGTAAATTTACAGACTTACGGTTCTCCTCAACTGCCTACTCTCATCTCTGGAGCAATAGAAATCAGCTGACTGACCAAATGTCTTGAGAAAAAACCCTTCAGAAAAGGCATAATTCAGGAACTCATCATGTACCGTAAGTAACACAGACAAAAAGGAGACATCTGTTTTTGAGAAAGTGGTTATTATTTAGTATGATGTTTTGTTACATACTCGGGTACAGTGTGCATAACCATTTTCACCTCATTTTTTTAAAGTCACAGATAAAAATAAACTTAAAGATGTTACAAATATAAATCGCTTATAATAAGACAATAAAACACAATGTCTGGGAGAAAAAAAGAAAGGCATGTCTATGGAATCTTACCTAAAAAATAAAAGGATGTCCTGAGACAGTTGCTGTTGTTCTTACCCATTAAACTTTGATCTTGTTCCAAGTGCCAATTACAATGAGCGGGAATGAGAGCGAACTGGGGGAGACTTCAGAGAATGGAGATTGAATCGCTTGTCAGAAATAGTTACCGCACATGCGAGCAGTCTGTTTTGGCAATGATATGCAAACTAAAAGATCCCTCCAGTCTATATTTAACAAGTTAAAGTGCACCATCATACAATCCAAACTGAGGATATCAAAGAAATGTGGATAAATGAGACAGCAGAGGACCCAAATTGGCACTAGTAACTTCATTTTTTATGCCTACTTCTGGTCTCTGCCTAGCATCCAATTAAAGTATTGGATTTGACTGGAAATGTTACACTGTCAGTCACTTGCAGACTCTAACCTGCATTAGGATATACTCTCTATCAAATACACATCACACATATATATTAGCCTATAGTAATGCACAAGATTAACACCAACATCACTGATGGAGGGGATGATCACTGGTATAAAACGATGTTTTCTTAGGAAAGAGAGGAAAAAAGTCTATAAATTACACTTTTTTTTAAAGAGACATTATAGTTGTAAAAATTACGACATCACTAAGCCCTATCTCTGTTTTTTAACTCTGAATGGATGCGATACTGCTGTTTCCATGTGTAATGTAGTGACTCGTTTTCATCATTCAGAAAATATTAGTGTGATTTGAACTAAATCAGCCGATTTAAATGTTATCGAATGAGCGTAATCTGTGGTTAACAGCTGATAGATATGTTCCAATAGGTGCCTGCTGCTCCAACTGATAGGCTCAGTGGGCTGTTATCATCCATTCAGATGGTTAATCAGCTATAGATAACATACAGTTGCGGGCGAAAGTTAATGAGAATTATTTATATTATTTATTAAATTTCGAGGGTTCATGGGAGTATGCACAACCAGCCCACATGTGTTTTGTGGACTTGGAGAAGGCATTAGACCATGTCTCTCGTGGCATTTTGTGGAGGGTGCTCTGGGGCTATGGGGTCAGAGGCGCTCTGTTAAGGGCCATCTCGTCCCTGTATGAACAGAGTAGGAGTTTGGTTCGCATTGCCGACAATAAGTCAGACTTGTTTCCATTGCATGTTGGACTCCAGCAAGGCTGCCCCTTGTCACCAATTCTGCTCTTTATTTTTATGGACAGAATTTCAAAGCGCAGCCTTGGGCAGGAGAGGGTCCGGTTCAGGAAACAACGGGACTTCATCTCTGCTATTCGCAGACTATATTGTTTTGTTGGCTTCATCAAGCACTGGAGCAGTTTGCTGCCAAGTGTGATGCGGCTGGGATGAGAATCAGCACCTTCAAGTCCAAGGCCTTGGTGCTCCACCGGAAAAAGGTGGTTTGCCATCTCCATGTTGGAAGCAAAGTTCCAGGTGAAGGAGTTCAAGTATCTTGGGGTTTTGTTCAGGATTGAGGGAAGAATTGAAAGTGAGATTGACAGGTGGATTGGTGCAGTGGCAGCAGTAATTCAGTCGATGTATCGGTCCGTTGTGGTAAAGAAGGAGCTGAGCTGAAAAGCAAAGCTTTCAATTTACCGGTCAGTCTAGGTTACTACTCTCACCTATGGTCATAACTGAGAGGACAAGATCTCAGATAAAAGCGGCCGATATGACTTTTCTTTGCAGGGTGGCAAGGCGTACCTTTATGGATAGGGTGAGGAGCATTGAAACCTGGGAGCAGCTGGGAGTAGAGCCACTGCTCCTCCACATCGAGAGAAGTCAGCTGAGGTGGCTCAGGCATCTGTTGCGGATGCCTCTTGCATGCCTATCTAAGGCGGTGTGTTCCAGGCATGTCCCACTGGGAGCAGGCCTTGGGGAAAACCCAGGACATGCTGGAGGGAATATGTCCCTCGGCTGGCCTGAGAACACCTCGGGATCCCCTTGGAATAGCTGGAGGAAGTGTCTGGGGAGAGGGAAGTCTAGGGCTCTTTCCTAAGACTGCTGCCCCTGCGACCCAGCCCCAGAAAATAGGTAGAAAATGAATGAATGAATGAATGATTTATTAAATTTCCCATTAATTGTATTATATTAACGTCTACCTCTACCTCAACCCTAATCTCAACCGCCACAGTAATGTAAAAACAGGTCTGGATCTTGAGTCTTCTCCATTAGTATAGCTGATTAACCACGAGAATTATTTGTATTAATTCTAATAGTAGGCACAGAAGCCCCCTACTGGTCCATATCTATAAGCTGATAACCACTGATAACAGCCATTCAATCGAGTGATAACATTCGACTAAATCATCTTCCTTAATCTCAGTATGCTAGCTTTCTTTTGTGTATCATGAATGTTTGGCACATGTATCAAAAGACTATCGTTTCTGACTATAAGACAGAAAGCTTGGGAATTATTTGATGAATCCACCAGATAAATGTATCTAAACGGAGTTTGACTGGGAAATAACAATGCATGTGGAAGATGTCTGCACTGACAGTGTGCAGATGCTGTAATTACCATTAACTTAAGTTTAAAATAACCAGTAGTGAGAGTCATGAGAGCCGAGTGCAGCTTCTGGAAACCATTCAAAGGGCAGTTTTAATTAGAAAAGCAAATCAATGGATTGCGATTCGCTGCATCTCGACCTTTCCTCTCCCTCTTGAGGGAGAGTATGACAAACACAGTGCGAGAAGAAAGACTGGCTTGTTTAACACCACACCATGGTTGTACTGCATTTACTTGCACTGGATGTGCAAATTTAACTCATTGCCTTCACATAAAGAAAAGCAGCGGATTTGCGTGTGGCTTGTACCAGTATGACTCCAGTCACTCATATTGTTGCCTGCAGTGTTATGGACATGGGGGGTCGAAGACATTACGAAAAATGACTCCTCAACAAGCATAAGAGAAGGGAGGTGGCGGGGAAAATTTCACTAATGGTTTTCACATGAAGACAGCCACCATGTTGTGAACGTTGTGTCACTTTCTACTACTGTATGACTGGAATCTGGTTAATGTTCACATATCAAAAGCTTCAGGCTAAATCTGGCAAACTGAGAATAAATTCATATTCTGCAAACTGTGAAACGTGAACTTTGAGTACTGAATCTGATAAATACTCCTCTTTGTGAAAGCACGGATGGCGAAGCAAATGCATTCGGTCAGAAAGAGAGAGCTCTTAAAGTTGACCATTGGATTTTGAAGAAAACCCCTCATAAAAACCCCTAAGCTACAGTTCACTAAAATGCTCTTCTACAAGAGGGCTAAAAGCTAAAAGCACAGTGACTTGGAAGGAAATCACGAAGAAAAGCCGTGACATATTTGAAAACTGAAATGAATGGCATCTCTTTGATTCGCATACCTGCAGATTCACTTAATAAAACCTTTGACTCTGCTAGAGAAACATCTGCGAATGTTTGAAGTGTTTACCGTAGATAAAGAGCAATATCTTTCATCCACCTAAGGTACCTTGTGGCACTGGCAGGTCTTACACAGCACAAATGTGTACACACTGAAGCTAATATCAGCAGCTTTTTCATGTCGCTACATACATAGGATTTGTAATATATGAAGAGAGGCAGTGATCAGAGGTTATACAGCTGAGGGGGGGAATTAAGGATCGGAGATCTAAATCTGTCAGAAAGCAAAAGGGGTAGGCAGTTTCAGTCAAGTCATGTTTTTTTTCAAATAAAGTCCCTCTGCTGATATGCATACAGAATCGCACAGTCCTTTCTGGTGGCCTTTGTCATCAGGAGCATGTTTGTCTGTCCAATAGCGAGAGATCAAACCACAGCCAATCATTGATTGTTTGGAGATAGTGAGCCAAATCAGGGAAGTCAGCGTCATGAGAAATAAACAAAGCTGACATAACTGAAAATACCAAACAAACGCCGCATAATTAAACTGGCGCATTGCACGATGTAGTATATAAGGCTTCAGAAGGGTCATGTGATCCTGCAATGAAGTGTCTGTGATGCACATCTTGAGGTTTTTTCTGCGTTTTGTGTGCATGTGTGTATGTATGTGAAAGCCGAGGGCTCCGTCTCCATCCCGGTTCAGCCCTCCTCGGTGTTGTCCCCACTCTTGGGTCTTTGGCACTTGGCGAACGTCCTTAGCCGGCAAGCGATCATCGGACCATAGGGTTTGCATTGTGGCGCGAACGGGATCTTTCCAAACCAGTGCGACGGTTGTCTGTTGAAAAAGAGAACAAGTAAGAACACTTAGAGGAATATTCACGAAAAAAACAATGCAAAAATCAGAGACGGAAAACAGGGAAGGAAACAGGGGCTTAGAAAATAGTTTGAAAGAAGATGAGGAACAACATCAGACATCATAACAAAGGCAAAGTGATTAAGGAGAGAGCTACATAAGAAGGTCTGGAGTCGGCTGCTTCTTGTCTGGTGTCATAGTAACTCCATTGAGCTTGCGATCTAGTCTCGGGCTTGAGAGATCCTTCACCTATAACAACACAGCCTGGAGAAGAGACACTTAATGGAACGCGCCCATACACAAGTAGGAAAACAGTGCGTACACAGCTGCATGTGCTTATCTGAAGACTACTGGAGGTCTGGGAGCATTTAAAGGGATAGTTCATCTAAAAATAACATTCTAGCACAGTTATATACACCCTTATGTTGTTTAAACCTTGCTCATATGACTGAAGACAATAGCGCTTGATGTATGTACTCCTTTTGGATCGCAGAGAAGATGGTTAAAATTCACACTTAGCAGGATTAGCCTTATTTAATTGGCTTGATTTAAAAACAAACTCTGGTGTAATTAATCTTTTACTGCTGTTCATTTGAATGGATGTGAACACTGCCACCTGAGCCTTGGTGTGAACTAAGAAAGCAGACCCCTTAAAAGATGGGTCTTGTTCTGCTTCCAAATAATCTCTACTGTGGTTCGGCTAAAATATGAGGCACCAAAAACCGGATATGATGTGACAAGAAGTGACCATAAAAATGATAGCTCAAGCACACAGGGCTTTTTTTTTTTCATCATAGCCACAATGTTGTTCATCACAATTCAAAACAATCATCAAAAACGTATATCCTTCGAACGGATTGAAATGTTGTTGTGCTACAGACACACAACAGACCATTTTCTGGCATGGATTTGACTTTACATATTTTACAAGCTTTTCATTCTTTTTCAATTTATAATAACACCATCACATGTACTGTATGCACACACAGGGCCCTATCATACACCCGGCACAAAGCGGCACAAGGCAATTGTTGTTTGCTAGATTTAGCTCAGCGCAAGAGTCGTTTTGACATTTTGCAGCACGCTGTTTAAATAGCAAATGCATTTGCGGTCATATGTGCGCCCAATGGCGTTCTGGTCTAAAAAAGGAGGCGTTTTAAGGCTCATTGCAGGCACGTTGCTATTTTGAGGAACTATAATAGACTGCACAATAGACCAGAGCAAAGCTGGTTTAAAGTCCAGTGCAGAACGCGTTAGCTGTGCGCCTCGCTTAAACATTGCTTAATACACACAGGATGTACAACATTACGCAAATATCTTTACAAATAAAAAATAATTAAAGGATTAAAATATTACAAACATTCTTATTTTCTAGCCTACATAAATACAAAGACCACCGCCTCCATGCCTTCTTCATCTTGGGGGGCTTTTTTTCAATGACAATTTGCTTTTGTATAATGTTATTATTAGTAGTATTCTTTATTATATGCATATTTATATTTGTTTTATTAAAAACAATCTTAGATTTGCCCATCTGTCAGGTTTGAGACCAATTTGGAAATAACTCATTGTTATTGTTCATTTATTCGTTTGCTGGAAATTAGAAATGAATTTAGAAATAGTTTTGAAACAAATCTTTGCGCTTAATAAACAAAATTAATTATGTATAGGCTATATAGGCTATATAGAATGGATGTCTGTGGTTACAACATGTTTCTCTATACAAAGTGAAAGTAATGAATGAGGAGGCTCATCTCTCATTCTTGCGCTGATGCTCTATTTTCTCTCTAGTGAAGCAATCAGTTTTTCCACTTCAAAGTCTGCCATAACTGACTCTTAAAGGGAATGGGAGATGAGACTCTGATTGGCTTATTCTCAAAACACACCTATAGCTCATTACATGCCCTTTATGCTTTTGCACCCTGCGCTTGGGACTTTGCGCCAATATCGTTAAAATAGAGCCCACAATGAGAGTGTTATGTGTTGTCGTGTATGTTTAGTACATTGTGTTTTTCCGTTTTTTTTTAGTTTTGTATCTTTAGTCTTGGTCTTGAAAATGCAAATACTAAGTGAACCAAGACTAACCAGCAAGCATTTATTAATTATTTTTTGTATTTTAAAGATGTCTAATTTATGTCTAAATGGATAAATCTGTACTGTTTGTGAAAATTTAATAGCTCTAACAACTACTAGATTGACATCTAGGCTAACATCTAAGAAAAGCCCACAACTAGACTATATTTACAGTACACAGAATACACAGATTAGACAGACTTCAGTCATTCGTTCCTGTGCATTTGATGACTAGTTTGGTTTTGGACTATTTTTAGATGCTTATTAGATTTTCAATGAACAAAATTAACCATGTTTAACCAAGATATCTAAAGTATGCTTAGATGTATGTTAGACATAATATAGACTTATGTTATATCCAGACCAAATGAACCTAGAGTACTGAGCTACAAGTGTTTTAATTTAAGGGTTAGCTATAGTTTAATTGTTTAAACTATAAAATACTAAGCAGATTCTCTTTGAATCTAGGCCAATAGAATTATTATGGAGGCATACTAAATGTGCTAGCCGAACTTGGCAACCGAGACCAGCCATTATAGGATCACACAAAGGCCCTCTCTACACTCAAACATGGTGTAGTGAGAGTCTGGGTGGAGGCCATGTGGCAGGTGGAGTGGACAACCTTCCTCTTTCCCCCGTAGATTCCAGGGCCAACTCCATGCTTAAGCCGCCACACCTTTCGTACCTACCCTGGCAGGTCTGCCCGTGCAACTGCCATTACTCAGTGCCAGGTGCCCATGCCACCATGGGCTGGGCATAGTTTAATGGAACAGACCCCATTCATCATGTCAGGTAATGAGTTAGGAGCAAGTGGGCACCACAGTAAAGGCGGATTCATACTTCAAACTAAATTGAAGTCTAGCTCGTTTGCCAAGGTCAGTTGCCTGGGCCAATGAGAAAACAAGCTAGAAATCATTTTGAAAAGGCTGTTTTATGGCTTTGTCTGGGCAAAGAGATTTTTGCAACAAGACAAAGGTGAAATAGAACACAGTCACAGTGGCCAACTATGTGTTATTACTACCAATAACAGTGTAGCTGAAAGCTCAGTGTTTGGTGATTATAAGAGCAAGTGCTTTGTGCTAACAAATCCCCTTTTTGAGTTTGCCTAGAGCCTTTTAATTCAAGCTTCAGTAGACGTATAAATCTGTCCTAACAAGGATACTCACCACAGGGGAGGGACAATGCTAATAACAAGAGGGTAATACAAAGAGATGGAAGGGATGTGGTTAAGGTAGAGGGAGGAACGGTCCAATGAAAACCGAGAGAACAAGTGGAGAGGAAATCCGCATTTCTCTGCAGAACAACTTCCTCTGGCATCGGTGAAAGTGGAAGATGCTGAACTTTGAACTCTGCATGGAAACCACAATATGAGTTGAAATGATGGCAGAGTCTTTCATCCACTTGCACTTCAAAAAGCCAAGCGCCCGAAGGCCTCCAGTCTTTTTCTCTCTGAACTGAATGGGCACTGCACATTGACAGCAGTGCTAAAAACAAAGAACCTTCTAGAACTTGTCAGGGAAAGGCAGTTATTTCAGATTTTATTTACAATTTCTGTGCGTATGTGTGTATATAGTGGAAATAAATAGGTTAAACAGTCATATCAGACATGTCCTCTAGACCAGAAATGAGCAAACTTTTTCATACGAAGGGCCAAAAAACAGAATATCTTTGATAGTCGTGCACCAACGATAAATAAACCAAACTATACCAAACTATTTTACATTAAAGTTGCAATGGGTATTTTCCTAATTTATTTCATAATATTTAAAAATACATAGAATTTTTTTTTATTAACTAATGCAGTATAGTTTTTTAAATTGCTGAATAACTAGTTGCAATTTAAACAATCATATTTTTTAACACAGTGGAGTTCAATGAATACACTAGTCAAGCAGAATCTGCCTTTGCCTTGATTTGCTCAAGGCAATTTTTTATCCGTCCGGTGACAGTATGTACATTTTAAATGAAATCTGATTAAGGATGCTTTCGCACCTAGTCTTTTGTTATGGAACCTGGCGCGTTTCCCCAGTTAGCAGGGTTCGTTTGGCATATGTGAATCCAGCAATCGCTCACATTCGCGCCAAAACAATCGGTCCGAGATTGCCTGAATGAGGTGATCTCTGACCAATGTAAGGAGAATTTACTTGCATGTGACTTGTTTTAGCTATTTTGGTCTGTTTAGAAACGTTGCCGTGTAAAAGCGAATCACACCACGAACAAAGAGCAACATTGTAACAATTCTAATTCCTATTTCGGAACAAAACAATCGATCTGCAGGTGTGAAACACCCTAAATAACTATGCGTTTTATAGTTTTAACAATACAACAAACAAATAAAAGGTTCAATTAAATTTGAAATGACAATCTCTAAACCACACCCATCATTCTCCCTCTCAGATGGGATGGCAGGCCAAATCAAAGGTTACCATGGGCCAACTTTGGCCCGCGGGCCCTAGTTTGAGCATCTCTGCTGCAGACAAAATAAATGTTTTTGACAATAAATGATAATCAAAATTTTCTGCAAATGTAATTATTATACAAGTAAACATACCGAAGGCAGGAGAGAAGGAAAAGAGGATGAACCCACACTGAGAGCAAAAAGAGATGGTAAACACATCTCTACACCAAACACTGCCATTGTTCTGCCAATTGCTTCTAAGTTGCCCATTTTAGTTAAATTGGAAGGTGACACACAGACTACAGTATTTTGTCTTGACAGGATCAGGGACGGCTGGCGGCACTTCCTCAAGTTTGTGGTCCAAATTGAAAATGGATGAAAGCGTCATGGCTTGATTGAGAGTGGAACATGGGGATGCTTGGAACATTTGGCAAGGCAGGGGAAAACGACGTCTAGGGAGGAATACTTGAAATAATTGCTTGAGCTCAACAGATTGAAGATTGGTGGAGAAAAAGTCTATGTTTCAACCAAATGGGCATAACCAACCAACAAACAGGCTTTTTTTGTTTTTAATTTGGGCTGAAAAGCTGTGTTTCTGACATGAGGCGCTTCAGTCTAAAGCATCCCATCTACAACAAACAATCACACCAACAAACAGCACTTTCTATTGGGGGCACACATAATGAAGCTATTCTCTAAAGAGTGAGCATTCACTTCCACAATAAAAATACACCACTAGACAATTTCAGGAGAACTGTGCCACTGATCACAAATCTGTCAAGTGCTTTTGGATTTGATGGCTTTTTTTTACCTGCTTTTCCCAGAGGCAGCATCTTTAGGTTGGATGCACAAAGAAAAAAGGATTGATGAAAAAAAAAAGAACATTTGGTTTCACACCAGAGAAATATCTGCATTTCAGGACTTAATTAAATGATGTTATTGGTTGACATGGGAAGGGGGAGTCAAATGTGACCAAAACGTCAAAACACATTGCAAAGCGGGATCATGGGATTAGCCTAGGGTTTAAAAAATAGCCCTAAAAAGCTAGTAAGCAAACAGACACTCACAAAGGACAGAAAAGTGGTCATACATTCACTGTATCCAACACTTTCACCATATGATTGAGTGATAGGCTCCAGACGGCCCCATGTGCATTCTTCTAAAGAGATTAAACCACATAATGGATTTTGCATTACTGTCATCTGCCTGTAATTACATGACGTTACATCATCAGGAGAGTCCTTTGGCACGAGGTTTGCTCCATGAATAACAAACAAGCTTCAATCAACAGCCGAGTAGTAACTATGTGAATAAACACAGGTAATTATGAGAGTGAATAATTTACATGTTTGATGCAGCTCAAATATTCAATATGTATGCAATAAATATTAAATGCGCCGAGGCAAATATTTTCAAATAAACACTTTTTGGTTATGCATCTCTTGTTTTGGATAGACCTTCTAAGAAAACACACACACACACACACACACACCGATGGTAATGTGCAAACTTGTATCGCTTCATTTTTTTCCCACCGACAAAATGTAATAAAGGGCGATTAAATCTTGGAGGGCCATATGTCAACACACAATGTTTACCGCTTGTGGGCCGTAGAGGGAGGTGAGGCAGAGAGAGAAAACAGACTGCAGCAGTAACAGCTACTGTATCTGCTCTTCTCATCTTCTGCATGCCTTTGCCAGACTCCAGCTCCATGGGTAATGGAGCACCAGAAACAAGAAATAGGATGTGATGGTGGAGGGGAGTTGCTTCTTCGTTTTTAAGTTATGGGGCTTGGAGAGTAAAACCTACAGTTATAGAAGCCAAGGTTTCCTACAAAGCTGAAAGTAATTGTTTTGAGTCAGTGAGGGAAGGTTACATCAGCTGCAGCAGTGCAGAATAGAAGGTCAGAGAGGTGCCTGACCCTGAGGCAGCTCAAAAGAGGCCTTTAATGCCTCGCAGCCTTGGTTTGTTTGGCAAGAAGGTAAACACACACAAAAAAAAAAAAAAAAAAAAAAAAAGAGCGGCCAAATGTGTTACTGAAACAAAAAAAAATTGTTTGCAGATATGTTAGTTCAGATAAAAAACCTATAGAAGCAGGATTGTTTTAAATTTACATTTTAACCTCTAAGTAACAGTAACTACATTATATATACAGGGTTTGTACACATTTTTGTCCAACTAAAATTCTATGACTCTTTCAAGGCTTTCAAGTAAATACTCATGACATAAATTTTCATGTAATGACTATGTATATTAAAAAAAGAAGAAAAATGCACAAAGTGATTACAGCATAGAGTAACATCTATGTTATTTTTAATGCAAAATAAAAGTTATTTAGATCATTTTTACACAACACTAAGATAAAATGACAACCCAGGCTCATTCCGCTTACGTACCCCTATATACATTGCTGGAGAATGCCAAATATGTCACTGGATGTAGGTTTTTTGCAGTTTTTGTTTTTGCCAATCTGCCAGAGGCTGCTCTTTACATTTTTTCAGATCTCAAATTTTACTCGTACATGCCATTCTCGCCTGCTTTTCTTGTGTAAATCCACCAGAGACCGCTGTCGGGGTGCTGGGGGCTGTTGGATAGAGAAGGGGTGTCGCGGACAAAGGACGAAAATGAAGAGGGATAGGGAGTCCGGCGTGTTCTGGCACAAAGTAAGCCATGTCTAAACCCAACCAATAGTGTTTAAAAAAGCACCAATTGACCAGCACCCACCTCCCTAAACCCAACCGACAGTGTTTTGAATGCCAATCCAAAATAAGGAAAGCCCTCATGGCAGCATACTTTTGATTACGTTTTCAGATTTTACCACATTTACACTGTTATTTACTTGTTTATTTGATTTTTTGGCTTTTGCTTTTATCTTTCCTGCTTTCTGGAACCATTTTTTACCGGACTCAGACCCCGTCGTCATTGTCTACTCTGCATCTTAAATACTTTTAAGTAAGCGACAAGCCACTGGACAAACAGTTACCAGCGGAAAAGCCATCCATACTGAGGTAATCGGTCAGCTGGCAAGCGCAAAAAGGAACGGTGTCACACCGCCCCCATAGTGTTCATTTTCAAGATGAAATGCAGCCATACGTTGCTCTGGCTACATAATTCACACTCTCCAAAACTGTACATGGGGGATGTTTTCAGATTGAGCCTATGTTTGAAATTATGTGAAAGTATGTAAAGAAAGAGCAAGGATAGAAAAGTAGCAAAAGGCTGCAACAACTAACTTTACCCTTAAGCATAACTTATAAACAAAATAATAGAATAGTAATGATGAAAACTACTGAAAACAAATGATGGAATTGAAAGACCTTGTGTAACTCATTTAATTTATATTAAAAAATATTAAATTATATAAATTCCATGAATTTTCATGAGCTTATAAACCCTGTATATACTTCTAGTTTTATATATCTTCCTTTTTTATAAATATGTTTACATTTCAAACCTGTATCTACCCTAACTCTAACTGTAATATATATATATATATAAGTACACAGCATGCCTCCAATCCCCAAAAAGAAAAAAAAAAGTTTTTTCTTCAGTTGTTTTGTTTCTTTCGATGAGAAACAAAGTCACATATGTCAAATTATACCCATTTTAAAGGTAAAAATGTGTCTAATATATCAAATTTTGGCTTGAAATTAAAGTACTTGATCTATTTTCCTCTCTTTTATGTGGTGTGACAGATTGTTTATCTCAGTTCAAACAGCAGCAGAGCATGAGCTGCTTCATTGCAACTAGTTATAGCATAAAATAAACACGAATAAACATCTCACTTCTCATGCATCCACCAAATTATTGTTTAAATTGTGGAAAAAATGTCAGTAAAACAGCTTGTAAACCACATGTCAGTTAGCATTGCATTTTCTTCTGTAAGTTATTCAGTTTCTAGGAAAAGCAGAGAAATGAATTCTGCAGAAGAGATTTTACACTGTTATCCTACATATTCATTGCTTTATGCTTATTTTTAGTAGTGATGTCTTATTTAATATTTTTTTATGCATATTTTAAAATAATTATGTAACGAGTTTCACAAAAATCTATCATGAAAACATAGATGTGAATTATATTTGGTAGCAAAAACTTCATTTCATTATTAGATCCGGAAGATAATGTAATCCCTGTCATAAACAATTGATGTTTTGTCTGTTGATTACATCTAAAAATAAATAGGAGCTGAATTTTGCAGGTTATTAACAGTCTGTTTTTAACTGTAGCCTTTAATATTATAGAAATGTGCTACTAATATATTCCCTACATAGTTTACAGCATTTCCTGATGCTATATATGTACAGGCATACATGTTAATGACACATAACAAGGTATAGATTGAGGTTGTTTGTCACACCGAGCTGTTAAGTTAGTGTGTTTAAAAATTCTGCTGTATCTTAATGAAACGCAGAACTCTGGGCATGAGTCATTTCAATAAAAAAAATAAGAAAAAGAAAAATACTTCTTGAAAATGGAGGAAAGAATAATTATTTAACACTGAAAAGTGTTATGTGTGATCAATGCTGCATTCAGTGAGGAAAATATATATTTAAAGCTCTGTAACCCTTGGAACAGCTAAAAATGTTCAACAGCAAACAACATCAATAAACACAAGATGCTCAAAGGCGAATAAATAAATTACAAGACCAAAACTTCATGATGACCTCTTTGAGTAAAAGATGACAAGGGATGACGAAACACGAAATGATGGGATGTCAAAATGTAACATAAAAAATGTTTTACATCTTAAGTTATACCATAGATTAACATTAAGGTAACAACACTTAATACAACACTTTTTTTTTTCTTTATGCATTTATTGTCCTTCACATATTCATTGTCTTTTATGTATTACTGTCAAGATTGCTAATTGTATATTGTTTTGTTTTTTAGAGTGTGTTGTTGTACTTTGCACTGTCTGTATGTCTGTATGTATGACAATAAAAGTGATTTGATTTGATTTAATAACAAGATAACAACTTATTGATACATACCCCTATATACATTTCTGAAGAGTGTCAAATACATCTTAAGAAGTAATTTTTTTGTGCATTTTTTGGTTGCAAATCTGCCAGAAGCCGTTTTCATGCTTTTTCAGATCTCACATTTCTCTCGCAAGTGCCATTTGCACCTGCTGTTCTTGCGTAAATCCATCAGAGGCAGCTGTCAACTGACTTAATGACTGACTGACTGACTGACTGATACCTCCAACCACCCTCCTTCCTTAAGCGCAACCGATTGATCAGCGCTCAACCCACTTCCCTAAACCCAACTGACAGTGTTTTTAAAAGCAATCCAGAAAATGAAAAGCCCTCGCGGCAGTCTGATTTTTATTATGTTTTCAGATTTTACCACAATCTTACCGTACGTTCACACCGAAAAAGGCGAGAGCGTCAAAGTAGCCGGAAGTCATTAATTTTCAATGAGAGCCGGCGACGATAGGCGACGATAAGCGGCGAGGAGCAGCGCGGCGCGTCTTCGCCGGCATGAGCGTCGAGGAGAGTTAAAATGAAGTCAACTTTATGGTAATGAGCTATGACGCGGTTCGGCGGCAAGCAATCAGAATGAAGACGTCCAACGCTTGATAGCAGTTCAGGGAACACAGACCTGTGAACTTTGGTTCCGACCACAGTTGTTCCCAAGGGTTTGATTATTGCGGTCGCCGGATTTCCAATTATTTACAATGTTTTCTTACAGGAACATTCATTAAATAAGTTACTGATGTTCATTAATGTTATATAAATTTATCTTAAAAAAGAGGGAATCTCACGCGATGTGACAGTACAAAACACTATAGCTGCTTCAGGATATTTCAGACATATGGACACATATTGGATAAATAGAGCAAAGCCACACCACATGCAACTTGATCTTCCATTGTTTTATGAATTTGATAAGAAGTGCGCAACATTTTCACGCTAAAAACATGTCTTATGCAGGAATGTAACTGATATGCTGCAACGGCTCCTTTAAGTACGAGATCAATGTAGCAAGTTTTGACGCTCTCGCCGCCGGAGCTGAAGGCAGACAGCGTTGTCGCCAGGGCGGCCAGAACGTATGGTTATCCTGTTATTTACTTGTTTTATTTTTTGGCATTTGTTTTACCTGGCTTCTGAAATCGTTCTTTACTAAGCTCGAATGGAGTTGTCACGGTCAACTCTGCTCTGCGCCTCAAATCCTTCAACATACACGACGAGCCACTGGACAAACTGGTAACAGCGGAAAAGCCAACCACACAGTAGTAAACTGTCAGCTGGTAAGCGCAAAAAGGAACTGTGTTTAACCGCACTGTAGTGTTCGTTTTTAAAGACGAAATGCAGTCATACGTTACTCTTGCTCCATTAGTGATCTCCAGAAATTTATATAGGGCTACATTTTCAGAATGAGCCTATGTTGCAAGATAATGTTTTATAATAATCATGGAATCCTTGGAAATTTAGATTTATAAATGTATTGTTAGATTATTAGATGTGGATGTTAACATTTTCAGTAAATATTAACTTCCTTTCACAGGAATTCACAAAAAGCTGTTGTGAGATTTTAGAGGACCTTGGATATAGCGAAGAGGGCAATTTTTATGAAACCTTTATGACACTTAAAGATACTTTTTAAAGCTCTAGTCCACATTTATTGTAACCACATGAACACCTGAATTATTCAAAATTTCACCTTTTGTGAAAAGAAAAGGAAGTCATAAGGATTTGAAATGACATGAGGGAGTAAATGCTGACAGAATTTTCATTTTGGGATGAACTAATCCTTTAAGTACTGGCTGATATCCTGGTTCCTCTTCCACATTGAGATGTGAGCTTTTAAGTGCATTCTCTGCCCCAACTAAAGCAAGAGAGACACCCGAAACACAGATGAGACAAGACTCCGAAATCCTGCTTTAAGTAACCCAGCTCTGCCGAAAATACGGATGCTTACGACAAGTGCTGCGCATTTGTCAAACTCAGCCGCCGCAGATCTGTTAGCAGAGAGCGCAAACATGAG